CGAGCTCTGTGCACAAGTACTCTAAAAACAAAGATAAAATTAGTATGTCAAAGATATTCCAACCAGTTGTTACAACTAGAACTGAAAACTATGCTAAGGAATTATACATCTGGCATAACACCAATGTAAGAAAACACAGACTGCTGGGTTATCTTTATCAACTGAGTAACCTCTGAAATACTTAAACTGAAATTAAGTTTGATTATACTGCTGTTTGTTCCCTATTCATTTTTCAGATAGATTATTTCACAAGGTACTGAATATACTAAGAAAAGCTTATAGTGAATGTCATACACAGTGTAATACAATATAATATTATGCCATACATTTAGAAAGAAAAAGCTAATTGCCGTTTCTTACATTTCTTGTATGAAAATGCTTCTAAATGGTGACCAAACAGATTTTTTTAATACCTGTAATCCGGACCCATACCGCTGTACACTAAACCTATATGTTTGGTAATTGGTTCTACTTTGTGGACACTCCTTTCATCATAAAGAATGGATTTCTGCTTCTTCTCAGTTGCCAACACCACTCCGTTTGCAGCTGGAAAGGAACAAGTGGTTGTTTGGTTTTCTTTATATTAAACTAAAATTATGGAAAACAGTCAAAATACAGAACAAGTTTATCAGACTGTAAAGAATCTTGGTCCTCCCTTTTTTTTTAAAAAAAAAAAACCTTCAAGTTTACAATCATGTTAAACAGAGATACTTTGATGAATCCACCCAACCCATTGTTTCTCATTTTAAATAATCACACGGCTCCCATGATCCCATTCTAAAGATTCTGAAGCACCTATTAATAATTGAGCAATAATTGTGTAATTTCTATGTATATGAACACACAGCTGGAGTTATTTACACAAGAGACAGGAACGCTCAAAAAATAAAAGGCGTCTACTTCTACCAGATGAATGTCTCCAAAATCACCCCAGCATTTTTCTTCTAACATGGAGCTCTATGCTCCCTTCCTTCTTTATAAAAAAAATTACTCAGTTGCAGAAAAAAAAAAAAGAAATATTAAACCCACTAAAACATGTTGTCCTGATTTCAGCTGGGATAGACTTAACTTTCTTCCCAGTAGCTGCTGTGTTTTGGATTTAGTATGAGAATAATGTTGATAACACATATTGTTTTAGTTGTTGCTAAGTAATGCGTATATCGAGTCAAAGGTTTTTTTAAGCTTCCCATAGAAGCTGAGAGGGAGCATAAACAGAACAACCTGGCCAAAGGAATATTCCATACCACTGACATCACGCTCAGTATATAAATGGGGGTTGTCTGGGGGACAGGGATCCGCAATTGCTGCTTGGGACAGGCGAGGCAATCAATCATCAGGTAGTGAGCAATTGTATTGCATCACTTATTTTGTACATTCTTTTCCATTATTATTTTCTCTTCTGTTACTGTTCTATTGAAGTGTCTTTATCCCAACCCACAAGGTTTTTTTCCTTTTTCTCCCTATCCTACTGGGGGTGAGGGTGGGGAAGTGAGTGAACAGCTGCATGGTCCTAGTTGCTGGCTGGAGTTAAACCATGATGCATGTGAAAATCCACAGAAAGGAAAACTAAATATGTAAAAAAAGGCAAGATAAAGAAAGACCCAGTACATAGTTCAAACTATTTTAGTTCTTCCAAATGATACTCAGGATCCTGAATACTTCACTAGAGTAGTCATTTTCTGAACATACCTTTAATCCCAACTGATGGAGCTCCTGCAGCCACTGCAGCCAAAGCATATTCAATCTGAACAAGTTTTCCAGAAGGACTGAAAAGGAAAATGTAAAAGTAAGCCTAACAGAATTCTGATATCCTCAAATCTTTCCTACAACAATCTGATGCTAACTTGCCTTTTTTAATCCTCTTTATACTTGGCATCACCATGTTCTAATTAGAACTTTAAAAAAAACAAAAAATCCCACAAGTTTGAAGATTCGTAACAGCTTCTAAAAGAACTGGACTGGTTCAGCACAGAACTCACTGCTGCACAGTGCTACTGGGATACTCACACAGCACCTGCCTACAACCCTGATGAAAGCTAATGTGTCTTGGATATGAACAGTGACTGGGGTGCAAGTTGAAGGACGACAAGTCTGTTCTCCAACTTTATACCATTTTAAACAAGTTTTCCAGTCAGCGGGAAAAATCTTCAGAGCGTCTCATGACTTTCCACTGAAATGGCTTGCAAAAGTTTTTACTTGTGGCTTGCACATACAAGGGGCTTGCAAAATTTTTAAGACACTGATGTTCACTGCTGAACGGTATGAGCAAAACAGCTACTCTTTTTGGCTGATAAGCACACATCGGGTCAATGGCACAAGATTGAAACAGCTCCCATTCCATCCCCAGCTATGCCTGCATTCTGTTTTCATGATCCATGTCTTTCTGGTAATAGATGCAGAATCATCAGAACAGAGCAGCAGGTGTCAGGCTGACAAAATAACTCATCCAGAATGAGGAGTATTGAGGGGTCCATTCTCAATCCCCAGGGAAAAGGACAGCACAGTGCCAGGCACTCATCTGACAAGTGATTTTGCAAGTGAGATCTATTCTCTGGGCTCTATTTCACAGGCTACTGTTTTAATAGATGCAGAAGTAAAATAGCAAATTATGAAATTCAGTGCTTAGATAAGTTAGAAACAAAGCAAGCAATAAACAATTAGCATAGTTATTTATACACTGAGTAAACAGTATATAAAGGTGACAAAGTAATGATTCTAGCTTCTCCGCTACTAAATACAAACAAACCAGAACAATAGTTTCCTATGCTAGCAATTAAAATACACAGAACAGTAGCAAAATATTTTAAAAGCAAGCGCAAACTAAAATAAATAATTCCCAGTACAAGGAACAGGTGAATGATCGAAAGTATAAGTAGTTTTCTCTTCTGTCTGAGAATGAAATCAAATGGCTTCAAGTTTCAGAGCATGTAGTACTTCTGTACCGTACAAAAAGTTTGCAACTCCCTTAGGAAACCATTTCCAAGAGCTAATAAAGAATTCAACCCAGTAAAGCAGGCATGTTTGGCTGCATCCATCCATTAAGAAGATACTTTCCTAGTTTTACTTGTGAACTGCTTCATTCACTTAACAGCAACTAGCCTTTAGTAACCTCCTTTGCAATTACACAGCATTACTCTCTTCTGAAATTAAGGGAGCACTTTACCAAAAGCAGCAGAAAAGATTCTTGCACACAGTTTTTATATGTATAATATAATTCTGGACAGCTTAATAGTTTGATTCAGAAAAAAGGAAATTAATATCTTTGTTTTTAAATTAATCTTAAGTGTATGTATTAGAGCAATACTTTAATAGATACCACTCCAACTGCGTATTCATTCTGTGCATGCAATCATCCCACATCTAGGCTGCACACAAGACAAAGTACAAGGAGAGCACCGCCTGCAAAGTGCAGTGGGAAGGGAAATAAACTACTTAAATCTCATTTGAGGGCTTCTTTCGTTCCTACACCTGCAAAGTGTGCGCTGAAGCAAGTCCTCTAGATACCATAGCTCAGCTATCATCACGCATTTCCAATTAGCTCAGAATTACTACCCAGCCTAAAGCATGTGTGTGGCGACAGTAAGTTTGCTAAACCGTTTCACCAAGCACTCGCTATAAGGCACTACCAGTGATGAGACAGAGCTCAGGCTGGCCCCACAGTGACCCTGACTTACAGCAACGAGAGAGGACACAAGGAGCGACTGCGCTTGGCGCCGGACGCCAGCGACACAGACCAGGTGGGACCCGGGACTCTCGCCTCAGCCCCCGCCTCAATCCCCGGCTGCGCCTGCAGCCGTTCAGCTCACGAACACTCCCGGGAGCCGTCCGCCTCCCCTCAGGCGAAGGCGCCTGATCCCCGTTCGCTTTCCCCACGCCCGCTCCTTCTGCCCGGGCCCAGCCACCGCCGACCCCCATCCCTCACAGGCCCGGCTCCGTGGACCCGCCGGGGACGCGATGACTCTGCAAAGTCCCCACTCCTTCCTGCCCCGCCGCCGCAAGACCGCTCCGCATAGGCTTGTGCGCTGCCCTCCCCCCC